ATGCTAAATAAATAAATAAGGACCTTTTTTTTTAAAACTAGAGCGGTGATCTTCTGTTATATCATATACTATGTGTATAAATGACAATATTGACATACCTTATGAGTACAGAACTAAGTGAACAGTAATCTTTTGTAATATTCAGCCTATAGAAGTTATTATTTATGAGTTATTAATATGCTATGATATAAGTAGTCAATAGGAATTAAAATAACTGCAAATATGATTTTTTTACAACATTATTTTAAAAATAGATTAAAACAAATATTTTGGAATATTTCTGCTACTCTTGTTATATTACCTTATTGTAAAGAGCTGCACAGACTGTTGGCACTATATAAATCCTGTATAATAATAATTATAGTAATAATAATACTCTCCTCTATAGTGTATATTAGCATCCTTTGGTTTATAGATCAGTGTCTCTAATTTTAGACATTCAGTTATGATCTGTTTTCAATGTGTTTTATGACAAGAACACTGACAATTACTTTTGTTATAGGTTTGAACTGATAAACAATAACTTGTGACAAAGACTAGACAAGTGACAGGTTTTTGTGAACCTGTTGTAGTAGGTCATAGTGCTGGCAGAGGTCCGGCAAGATTCTTCTCATGTTGTAATGCCAAGAAGAGCTTTTGAATATTTAACGAAACTATATTAGTCCCAAGCAGCTGCCTTTCCCGGATTACCAGCTGCTCAAACAAAAAACTGACAGTAAATATGTCACACATAGTAACTTGAAGGAGAAACAAAAATGTGTGCTTAACCTTTCTTTCAAGTTCATCCAAAACAAGGTCTTCATCAAAGGCAACACAGCAGGTTGGCTGTGTGTTGGGCTCTGTGTAGTAAGATCAGCCACATGACACTGTGATGCGTGAAGAAATACAGGCATAGGTTTTCACGCAGCTGCCACTCTGCAGATTCAATAAAGCGGCGCAAAAGAGGCCACTATATAAATTGCAATAATCTGCAGACATTACCTTTCAGACATTCAATCACTGAAAGAAGGTTGCTCTAGGTTACTTTTTTTTACATTGCTTTTTTGCCTTACTGAATAAGCCCTATATTTTTCATTCAGAAATTAGCCTATGTCACAGTTCTAACTTATCCATTTACTGTCATTGCATACTGAAACCAAATATGATGAATGTTGGTGAGGTACTCTTCTGCTTCTAAGCAGTTCTGTAAATATGGATAAATGGCTTATTCATTGAGCCTAACTGCCGCAGTCCGTGTTATCGTAATACCTAATAGGAGCATAGCAGACTCTTTCCTAATAAGTATTGTAGTGTGTGCGAGCCAAGGAAACTGCTTCCACTGAATTGCCCTGAGAAGACTTACAGTTATACCTTTGCTGCGTAGCATGTCACCAAATAGAGGAAATACCTTGTTTCCTGACGTCTGCAGCAGAATTTCCACTGTGGAATGTCAGTATGTTTACATTCTGTGGGCTTGACTTTTTTTTTTACTTAAAGGGGTTCACATATCAAAAGTCTGCAGCTTCCAGCCTTTAATATTGAGATTCTGTTCTTCTGTGGTATTTTGCATCTTGGTGTTGTAGACATGCCACCAGGGATCAAAGCATAATGCTGCTGAGATCCCACTTCATTTGGTAGAGCAAGCATGTGCATGCCATCTGTTCTATCTGATAGAAAACAGCGGTAAACGGCTCAAACTGTGGCCAAAAAAGGCTTTAGTGCTCAGAGATGAGATGCAAGGCACCTTGTAAGCTACATCTGGTTTACATAGTAATTTACATTGTATAAATGTTCAATACACAACCTCTGTTCTTTACATCAGTGCATAAGAAATAATTCATTTCATAGACGGAAACTTGCAAAAGATGCACGGTGGGAGGAGGGAAAACTGATGTGACGCTACCTATCTAAGGTATCCGTTTTCTTTATCATAATTAACCCGAAACCGGTTCTCATTTTCCAATAAACACTGTAGGAATGACAGCTGAAATCTGATTGGTGGGGATGAGCCACACCTCCATGTTTCCATTTCTCCAGCTTTTAGGAATCAGCTTCCTTCCTATTATGGAACTATGTGTTGAACTTGAACGACTTAAAGTGTATTTTCCACTTTTGCAGCCAAATTGGGAAAACACCTACTTTGTATTTGGTATATAGCATAATTTAAAAAATATTTAAAGGTAAGACAATTAAAAAAAATATTTTAGATAAGCTCTGTGAATGGGAACACATAACAAATACACAATGGGATTTTCTCAAATTTGACTACTAAAAGTGGAACTAACCTGTTTACAGCAGGCTGGAAAACTGGAGTCCATGCCAATTTCTGCTGTATGTTCTATAATTCAGTTACAGAAACACAAATGCGCTTATGTTAACACTTATCAGGTTTTCAGAAAGCTAATACCAAAAGCAGTGGCTTCAGATTCCTGCAGTAAGAAGAGTGGAGGAGGATCTGGTTGCTTTTTGGTTTCTATACTTTCCAGTGTACATTGTCATTGTTTTTGCATTGCATTGTCCTTTTGGATAAGCCTGGTCATTTAGAGGCTGTATTTCTTAAATATCTGCAGTATGCTTTATGTTATAAACCTTAGAAAAAAACATCTAAAGAAAATGTTTAAATTACATTTGATTTGAAATAATGTATACAAAATAAAAGTGCAATATAGATTACAGCAATACAATAATAGAAGCCCACCCCCCTAAACAAATAAATAAACATAGTTTTTTTTATTTGCAGAATATAAACAACACATGGCTACAAAGATAAAGCAACAATCATTTAAAGGAGAACTATGAGGTGAGTGCTTTTCACTCACCTCATAGTTCTAGCCGACCTGTGACAATGAGACTGTCACAGGTCGGCTCAGTAGATCGGGAGGTGAGCGAACACATACCGGGTTCGCTCGCCTCTCGATCCTGTCACGGCTCTCTGCCGTGACTGGGGGAGGGGCTGGATTCCCCTCTCCCCGCTCCGATCTGCCAGCGCTGACTGGCGGAACGGACAGGGGAGGGGGCGGGTACAGCTGGCTCTGCCTCTAGATAGGCAGAGCCAGCTGTCACTCACGCAGCTGGGCGGATACCGTCATCTACGTTGGGATCCGCTCCGGCTGCGGCATCTCAGTATACCGCGAGCTGTAGCTCGCGGTATACTGAGCTTAGGGTAACGGGAGGACGCTAGTTTGTGTCCTCCCGTTACCCTAAGGAGAACTATGTGGAAAAACACTGACCCCATAGTTCTCCTTTAAATGCTCACTTTTACATTGTTTTATGAAGGAAATGTTCTAAGCAGCAGGAAAATTATATTAAAGGAGAACTATGAGGTGAGTGCTTTTCACTTACCTCATAGTTCTAGCCGACCTGTGACAATGAGACTCCCGGATCCCGGCACAATTGTCGGGATCCGCTTCAGCTGCGGCGTCTCAGTATACCGCGAGCAGCAGCGGTATATGTGATAAACACAGAGGAAGTGACAGATCCTCTTTATGGAGTCATCAGAGGTCTATTAGACCCTTAATGTCACCTATGGACCCATCAGCTTCTTCTCCAGCCACCGCAGCTGGAGAAATGACAGCCTGAAACAGGAAGTGGCAAAATCTTTGTCGCTTCTGGGTTCAGTAGCACAATGGGTGTGTGCTGATCTTCCTCTGGTGAAGCTGCAGACACCAGCCAAGTCAGTCCTGGGCCCGCACAGGGGTAGCGTAACCCAGGATACATGGTACAGGCGGTAGAGGGGGCAGCACCCTTTCAGGCCCATACATGTAATCTATACAACCACCTAGATCACTTGTACCTGAAAGCCAAAAAGGCAGCTGCAAAAATTGATACTAAGATTGGATGTTTGTAGTAAACAGGTTCATTTCACCTTATTTTGTACTTTACTACATCTGCTCCTAAATCCCTTAAGGTGTTTGTTTAGCATAAGTCTGTGAAGGTTCTTATTCATCCAGATCATGGTATATCTGTGCATTTGCCTTGATTTATTTTCTACAGATATGTTTAGCATAAGGTTCATTATCTATTTTTAATGTAACTTTGTCGTGTAAAATATAACTTGCTCTTATTTTTCATATTTTTCATTTATGGCACCTATAATTGCTAGAAAGGATATATTTGTTTCAAGAGAAAAAATATATAATTATTTTCATTTTGAAATGATTGAGGAAGGGTTAGACACCTTGTCAGGTTTTTTTCTGCTATCCAATGTGCTGTAGAGATTTCCCTGGCAGAGGTTCCAGCCTTCCCCTACTCTACTATATTTTCCCTCCCTTCCCGCACGGTGAAATTGTTAAAAGGACTAAAACTAAGGGGTAATATAACTAAGCTCTCGGTAAAAGCAACAACCTGACAGGGGTTCTAATATTTCCCTACTGTATCCAAAACACTTTAGAGCTGAGCGCCGGTGAGATTACAAAACTACCCTTGCAGTGGGGCTTTCTGCACACTGCAAGGGGTAAATGCTTATTTTTGGTTAGGGTACCATTTAAAAGCAGTTTTAATTACCTTATCCCACGCGGTCACAGACTTCCTCCTCCCTATGTGACCAGTCCCCTGGAAGCTGCTTCTATCTGGCGCTCCGCCAGACAGTCACACTTTGATGTGATCACATACAATGCAGGACCAGAAGTCTTGCATTGTAAGTGAGGACGTTGAGGGCCTGCTCACAGCCCAGAGCATTGTGGGACAGAGGAGAGTGCAGGCTGC